AACTGCTAGGCTACATGCCGCCCATGACACTAATCAACCAATTAAACCACGATCAGTCAGATAGTATTGTAGCCAATTCAGAGGGGTTGTACACTGGGACTTGAACACGGGTCTCTGATTCAGAGGCAAGCACCAAAGATCACTACACTATACATCCCTCTTCCACTATCTCACTTCTGACACCAGTGTAACGAATTCAGCGGTGGATTGGTCAAGACTCGAACTCAGGGCCCAGTTTTTCAAAACATTTAATCCAGATAAAAACATATAATGTGTTAAATTCTGTTCCTCCTTCAGATGTGGTCCCTCGTTTTTTTACGTAGTTTAAAAGACAAAAACAGAACCAAACCATAACATTCCACATCATATGCTACAACAAAGATCATGTTATATGATCCCATGAAATTTGGTCTAAATATTTTCTGAAATGAAGGGGGAACAAAATGGAATGGGGTAACAGGGTTGAGACAACACAGCGTCATTTTGATCAGGATTTTTTAAAAACTGGGCCCAGGCCACTCTGGTTCCAAAACAAGCACGCTACAGTACAGGTAAAAGTCAGTAAATTAGAATATTTTGAAAAACTTGATTTATTTCAGTAATTGCATTCAAAAGGTGTAACTTGTACATTATATTTATTCATTGCACACAGACTGATGCATTCAAATGTTTATTTCATTTAATTTTGATGATTTGAAGTGGCAACAAATGAAAATCCAAAATTCCGTGTGTCACAAAATTAGAATATTGTGTAAGGGTTACATTTTGAAGACACCTGGTGCCACAAAATAATCAGCTGATTAACTCAAAACACCTGCAAAGGGCTTTAAATGGTCTCTCAGTCCAGTTCTGAAGCCTACACAAACATGGGGAAGACTTCAGATTTGACAGCTGTCCAAAAGGCGACCATCGACACATTGCACAAGGAGGGAAAGACACAAAAGGTTATTGCAGAAGAGGCTGGCTGTTCTCAGAGCTCTGTGTCCAAACACATTAATAGAGAGGCAAAGGGAAGGAAAAACTGTGGTCAGAAAAAGTGTACAAGCGATAGGGATCACCGCGCCCTAGTCAAGATTGTGAAAAAAAAACCATTCAAAAATGTGGGGGAGATTCACAAGGAGTGGACAGCTGCTGGAGTCAGGGCTTCAAGATCCACCACCAAGAGACGCTTGAAAGACATGGGTTTCAACTGCCGCATACCTCGTGTCAAGCCACTGTTGACCAAGAAACAGCGCGAAAAGCGTCTCACCTGGGCTAAGGAAAAAAAGAGCTGGACTGCTGCTGAGTGGTCTAAAGTCATGTTTTCTGACGAAAGCAAATTTTGCATTTCCTTTGGAAATCGAGGTCCCAGAGTCTGGAGGAAGACAGGAGAGGCACAGGATCCACGTTGCCTGAAGTCTAGTGTAAAGTTTCCACCATCAGTGATGGTTTGGGGTGCCATGTCATCTGCTGGTGTCGGTCCACTCTGTTTCCTGAGATCCAGGGTCAACGCAGCCGTCTACCAGCAAGTTTTAGAGCACTTCATGCTTCCTGCTGCTGACCTGCTCTATGGAGATGGAGATTTCAGGTTCCAACAGGACTTGGCGCCTGCACACAGCGCAAAATCTACCCGTGCCTGGTTTACGGACCATGGTATTTCTGTTCTAAATTGGCCAGCCAACTCCCCTGACCTTAGCCCCATAGAAAATCTGTGGGGTATTGTGAAAAGGAAGATGCAGAATGCCAGACCCAACAACGCAGAAGAGTTGAAGGCCACTATCAGAGCAACCTGGGCTCTCATAACACCTGAGCAGTGCCAGAAACTCATCGACTCCATGCCACGCCGCATTAATGCAGTAATTGAGGCAAAAGGAGCTCCAACCAAGTATTGAGTATTGTACATGCTCATATTTTTCATTTTCATACTTTTCAGTTGGCCAACATTTCTAAAAAATCCCTTTTTTGTATTAGCCTTAAGTAATATTCTAATTTTGTGACACACGGAATTTTGGATTTTCATTTGTTGCCACTTCAAATCATCAAAATTAAATGAAATAAACATTTGAATGCACTGTGTGCATGATTGACAAGTACACCTTTGGCAACTGAAATAATCAAGTTTTTCAAAATCTTCTATTTACATTGTACCTGTATATAATGTGGCAGGCCCTTTACTTGAACCAACATGAGTGTAAAACATTACTCATAGATTGACCAGGTGAATCCAGGTGAAAGATGTGATCCCTTATTGATGTCACTTGTTAAATCCACTTCAATCAGTGTAAATGTAGGGCAGGAGACAGGTTAAAGAATTAATTTTAAAGCCTTGAGACAATTGAGACATGGATTGTGTATGTGTGCCATTCAGATGGTTAATAGGCAAGACAAAATATTTAAGTGCCTTTGAACAGGGTATGGTAGTAGGTGCCAGGTGTACCGGTTTGAGTGTGTTAAGAACTGCAACGCTGCTGGGTTTTTCACGCTCAACAGTTTCCCGCGTGTATCAAGAATGGTCCAACGCCTAAAGGACATCCAGCCAACTTGACACAACTGTGGGAAGCATTGGAGTCAAAATGGGCCAGCATCCCTGTGGAACGCTTTTGACACCTTTGTAGAGTCCATGCCCCGAAGAATTGAGGCTGTTCTGAGAGCGAAAGGGGGTGCAACTCAATATTAGGAAGGTGTTCCTAATGTTTTGTACACTCAGTGTACATCCAGCAGGCAGGCAACACCCATGCCGAAGTTTTATTCCATTATATTTCACCTTTTACCACGTAAGTCAAGGGTACAAATTACACATTGAATGTTGGGGTGCCCAACATATTCTTGACAGTGACACTTATGGGGGTGCTCAAACCACAGTGATATTTAATATCCTACATAGGTGCCCTGATTTGTAATGCCCAACAGTCCAGTCCAGTTCCAACCACAGCAGCACTGGCAGCAGGGGAGACTCGCTCCAGCACTGAGGAGGCCTGACTGGGATGGGCTTCTCTCACGAGGAAGAGGGGCCAGCCAGAGGCTTTCTCAGGAGGGCATAATGCTACAGAAAGTTCAGATAGTAGAATACATACATGCTTCTCTCTGTCAATTAGATAAGATTAGAGTAAAGAATCATTAAAGCCACGGTCTAGGTTTTACATAACATGACAATATTAATCAAATAATCTACATTTCTATTTTAACGTTTTGTAAAGATGCATCCTTTTGAATACACCCCAGGTGGAAGGGCAGCAGCCAACACAGTGCCTAGCCTGCTCACCTACTACTTAGGTTGCAAACATCAATGTCCACTGGTACAGGGTTTTTAATTTACATTTTAGTCATTTAGCAGACGCTCTTATCCAGAGCGACTTACAGTTAGTGAATGCATACATTTTTCATACTGGCCCCCCGTGGGAATCGAACCCACAACCCTGGCGTTACAAGCGCCATGCTCTACCAACCGAGCTACACGGGACTAAATATTTTGAATCTACTGGCAGATAACATTGGTCAAATACTGTAAAGTAGGCTAGGCTAGTTGAGGGGCACATCATTTACTAGCTTGGAGTTTGCACTTTTGTGACATTTTTATTGCTTCGATTGTGCCAGCCAAACTAAATTACATCACTCATGCATTTGACCCGGGTCTGGCAGCATCAACTTTGAACAAGTGAGAGATGGGGAACAGAGAGACATGGGATTCAGGTAGGTCAGAGTCATTGGTAGTGTGGTGGATGAGAGGAGTTTTTCTCATACAATGTAACGCTCTGACCAACTGGAAAAGCACAATATAAATCCCATCATTATTCATTTATTAAAAAACCTAAGTACAAATGTAGCCTATTCATTCGTTCTATCTGAATGATCCTTCTGAATATCACTGGAAAAGAAGATTAAACAATGAGACAGTCATTATTTCTAAAATTAATAAATCAACTCAGTTACATGGATTATGTAGTCAAAATGTTGTCCATGTGACAGAATTTTTGGTATTTCATCTTATTCTGCATGTAGGCCTACTTGTGTGACCATACCTTCAATTAATTTGAAGTGCAGTAGTATTTCTCTGGTATTTCTACTATCCCAAAGCGTCCAATCCACTTGCAGGAATGAGTAAACACTGTACAAACACGATTACAATTGGCTGAAGAGACCGTTCGAACCAGCAAGCAGAAAAGCTATTGGTTGGCTCTGGAAGCTCCGGGAATCCTCATTCATCGGTTTGGCTTTGCTTCGGGGTTTATTGTTTCTCTCCGTTTGGAAATAGAACAGGGAAAACTCACCGGCGACATGGTAACGAGTTTTTGATTATTTTATGCACATTTTGTGTGTGCACTCTGTATTATAGGACAGATTATAGTACATTTGATTAAATGTAATTGATATGCTAAACTGGCTTGTAGCATTCACGAATGCAAGCTTGCGTGCGAAATAACGTTAGGACGTCGTCGACTGACACTCGAAAGCTAGCTAACGAAAGAGCGCCATCTACATTTAGCTACAACGCCATCTGGTTTACAACCGACTCGCTTCTCCTACTTATTTCAAACATAGCTTAACTATATCTAATACGTTACCTCCCGTCTCTGTCTGATTTATATTATGTTAATAGTCCAAGATATTCGCAAAGTTTGGGTTGTATCTTGAAGTAACGTTACGGTAGCAAGTTTCCACCGAGCTAGCTAGCTAAACCAGGTTAGCACTAATCCGCCTAGCGAGCGCAGATACTACTGGCGAGCAGCCAAGAAAACCTGTGCTAACGTTAGTTAGCAACAAGTTTACCAATATTTCACAGTTTTAGTTAACTATTGTAAAACCATTCTTCCTGCGTATTTATGCATATTTTGAATTTTTGTTTGCAAAATTTGAATGATTTATCTTCAATAAATCAAATGACAGTTTACCAGTTACCTAACTATCTACCGGAAATTGTGCATTATCTTCCAGTTGGCGGGATAAGTGTGTGATTGTAATGACAGGTTGCATGTGCCGCCTTCGATTTGCTTGAAGTTGTAAACAAAAATAACATTAAGAGAATGATTGTGATTTAATACTTTTTCTTTTGTACATCCACACCACATTTAGTATTTTTACACCCTGGCCACAGTTCGGCATGGCTTTGAGAAGTAACAAAAACAACATTTGATCAAGTTGATGCATCAAAAGTAATTTCACTGAATTTCTGTTTGTCCCCTTCCAGGCAGGAGGAAAAGCTGGAAAGGACAGTGGTAAAGCCAAGGCGAAGGCCGTGTCTCGCTCCCAGAGGGCTGGACTCCAGGCATGTACCCACTCTCTTTTACCTGGTTTTCTGTGGTCACATCAGTCGCAAGTAATAATAATAATAATAATAATAATATGCCATTTAGCAGACGCTTTTATCCAAAGCGACTTACAGTCATGCGTGCATACATTTTTTGTGTATGGGTGGTCCCGGGGATCGAACCCACTACCTTGGCGTTACAAGCGCCGTGCTCTACCAGCGTGTTTTCCCTGTTGAATTAGTCACAAGTGAATCCTACATCACAGATAAATAGGCAACTTCTACCTAGAGTGTTTCTGATTGTGTTTATGTTTCTCCTTGTGTAGTTCCCGGTGGGTCGTATCCACAGACACCTGAAAACCAGGACCACCAGCCATGGCAGAGTGGGAGCCACCGCAGCTGTCTACAGCGCCGCCATCTTGGAGTACCTCACCGCTGAGGTGAGATGTTTTATTTTTTTTAAACACAAAAAAAGGACTCATTGAGGGTTCTGACGAAGGTCAATAGAGCAGGCTTTTGCTCCAACCCTTCCCTAACGCACAATGACTGAACCTATTGTTGTGGTTCCCTTTCAGGTGTTGGAGTTGGCAGGGAACGCCTCCAAGGATCTGAAGGTGAAGCGTATCACTCCACGTCACTTACAGCTGGCCATCCGCGGAGATGAGGAATTGGACTCCCTCATCAAGGCTACCATCGCTGGAGGAGGTGAGTTGTAAATGAATGGATTGGGTTTATGTATTGTTCTTCCAGGAACTCAATGCACTTTATATTACATGGGGTAGGGCAAATTCACCTCTTCACCCACCAATTTGTAGCACTAGCACCCATTCGTAATTTCATTTTTTCTCCCTCCTGCAGGTGTGATCCCTCACATCCACAAGTCTCTGATTGGAAAGAAGGGCCAGCAGAAGACTGCATAGAGGAAGTGACCTCCCACACCACCAGGAAGGAATGGGCAGCCATGTTCTTTTTGTTTCTCATATTTTTGGGGGGTCATTTTGTAACCGTAGTTGTAGTCTCTCGAGGGAGATGTGTAGTCTTTGAGGTATGTGTTGATTTGTACTGTTTTAAAGGGGAAAAGGGGTGTGTTTAGGGTAGGGGTTTTTTCAGACAAGAAACTTGTGCAATAACCACGTTTCCATCCACAGTTTTTATGCGAGTAAAGTCATAGTGTATAAAAAAAAAATTAGAATAACAAATCAAGACAACTGTGATGGAAACAGGAAGTTTCGGTACAATTTTATAAATGCCAACAGACAATTTGTTAGTTCGACATGGTGGGATCTTTTAGTGTCGGTAAAATGTATTATGAGAGAATTGCCGGTGAAACGCCTTTATGCGCAAATATTGATATAATAACCATCATATCGAAGTAAACTTGGAGTCACGCAATGATATGCTGTGTGGTCCTCCCACTAGGACTCTGGAAACCATGTAGTTTATTAGGCAATAGATGAAATGTTATGATGAACGTCACAGGGTGGTGAAAGTGCACGGTGATGAGCTTGATGCTCCTTTCCAATAAATACGGAGTTGGCACATTTGCTATTTAATGCAACAATTTTTGTGACAAAACTATTGATAGAGTTGAAAATGCGATGGAAACACAACTTTTGATTAAAAAAAATTTCAGTACATGAAAACGTAAGCAAAAAAGTACATTTTGTGTGCACTACGTCATCACGCACTGATTTCTATCTGCTCAAAGTCAGTTGGGTGGAAACTCCACTGATGGTAAAATGTGCATATTTTCTTTATGTACATTTGAGTATTCGCATGAAAATCTGTCGCCAATTGGATGGAAACCTAGCTACTGACCAACAAATGCTGAAGTTCTTGTCTTGTTCTGAAAAACTTTGAGTTTATTGGATTTTGCTCCAAACTTGTTTTATACCTACAAAAGTTAAAGTCTTTAAAAAAAACTATCTGTGTGTGTTATTCAAATTTTAGCCAGAATATGATTTAGTGATTTTCTATGTAGCTTTGACCTCGCTCACCTAGAGATACAGTAGTTTAGATATTATGTAATTATATTCAATGGAGAATGAAGGAAGGTCGGCACTCATGAATTTGAGGTGGGGGAAAAAAATTAGTTCAGTTTGATGAAACGTTTGTTCTGAGAAATCTTATCAATTTTCATTTTTTCACGACACATTCATTAGTGTGGACCTTCTCTCTATTACAGATGTTTTTATTTCATTTTTTGTATTCAAACTTTATTTTATCAGGGAGTCATATTGAGACAATGGTCTCTTTTACACATGAGCCTTGAATTAGGCAGTAGGTGGCCCTCAACAATTTGTAAGCTGGTCAGAGATATTGAGGTGTTTGAAATCATCAGACATTCTATCACAGTACAACAAAATCCAGTCTATATTCAGGCATTATGTTTTTGTTTCATTTTATTTTTACACAGTACTTCCAAATATATCAATCAAGTGGAGGAACAGAGATTATCTGATTATAATGCAATTGAAGAAAGAAAGAAAATATATTTCTCACTTCTTTAGAACACAGCAGCCACACAGATTCATTAAAAGTTTTTACAATTTTATACTTGAATAGAACTTACAATATGACAATACAAAAGAAAGCAGGAACACATTCATTATTGCACTCTACCCTGAGTGGAAAACTTCACAATTTCACCTCTCCTTTAAGTAGCTTTTTTAGTAAGTCAATACATTAGAATAGTATAGAAGCTAGTGAAGAGGTAGTGGGATACATCTCTATAGTCTAAAGTAGCTTTCTACCCTCATCTCGCTTCCTTAAAATCCCTTCAGACTATTGTGAACCACCCTATATCATCCAAAAGTTCTAATACAGGTGAGCGTGAGGCTGGTAGGCCCCCATCAGTGGGTTAGACCCGGTAGTGGGCATCACAAGGCTGGGGAGGCTTGCATATTGGTAGAAAGAGTCCAGGGGGGTGGCAGGGAGGTTGGGCAGGGCTGGACCGGCCGTGGAGGAGCTGTAGTGGGGGTGGAGGTATGGGGTGGAGGCGCCCCCCTCGGCTCCTGCGTGATGGGGGTGGTAGGTGGGGTTGGGGCCAGGGCGGTAGGCCTGTAGCTCGGTGTAGTGCAGCAGGTGAGAGGTTACTTTAGCTTGGCAGAGAGCGTCCTGGACCATCCTCTTCATCCTCATACGCCTGTTCTGGAACCAGTTACGGATCTGAGGAGAAACAGGAGTTAGAGCAGGGAGGGGCAACCCCTTTTTCTCCCGAATTTTGATCTTGTCTCATCGCTGCAACTACAACAGGCTCAGGAGGCCATGCGTCCTTCAAAACATGACCCGCCAAACCGCGCTTCTTAACACCCGCCGGCTTAACCCAGAAGCCAGCCGCACCAATGTGTCGGAGGAAACACTGTTCATCTGACGACCGACGTCAGCCCGCAGGTGCACGGCTCGCCACAAGGAGTCGCTAGAGCGCTAAGAGCCAAGTAAAGTAAATGTATTTTTGGGGGGAAATTGATCCGCTGGCCTACACAAAAGGAACGCCAGTTGACCATCCCTGAGTTAGAGGCATGAACGATCACACAAACTGCTGCTAACCTGTGTATGTGCGTCTGTGTGTGTGTGGTGCCTACCTGTTTGTCTGTAAGGTTGAGTCTCTTGCAGAGCTTGGCCTTGTCCTGAGTGCCCAGGTAGGCGTTCCCCTTGAAGGCCATCTCTAGACTGTTGATCTGCTCCGCTTTGTAGGCTGTACGTGGCCGCCTCCCCGTAGGGAGAGAGAGAGAGATGGGAGACAAGGAGGGAGAGGTGAAGGTGCCGTCCGTGGGGGGAGAGGGATTGCCCGCCTTCGCTCTCGTACCCTGACGTTTCCTCCTCTGTTCCACTGAGGAGGCCAGTCTCAGCCACTTCTGAGGAGAGAGGGGGAAGAAATGGAGAGAGGTTGGATTTCAAATCCATCCATATGTCACATCATAGTGGTTCCCAAAATGTTTGTGTGCTCTGAACCATACAAACAAATTCTCCAGACAACAACTCATTCTGAGGTGCGTCCTAACTATGGAGCTTTCAGCACTATAAGAGCCAAATTAGATGTAGCTATTCCTTATGAATTCTGTATCTCTGAGACAATTATTATTTATTATTATTATTATTGCAATTAATTCCACCAATACCTAGCTCAAAAAACACCCAAAAACAACAAGACAATATTTAAATGAATTTATGTCCCCCATCTAAGCTCAGATCCTGAGATGAGTTCATTTGAGGGAGAGTGAACCTACCTTGGTGGTTGTGGTGGAGGGGGCTACTCCTCTTGGTATGTGTACCTGTCTCAGGGCCTGCCAGGCAGGGATGGCTGCATGGGTTGAGCCCCTGTCCTCTCCTTGCCTGGTTCGCCTGATTCTCGGGTCTCAGTCGGCAGTAGAACCCAGGTAGGCTCTCAGGTTGGGTCCCAGAGGTGCTGTTCGGTCCAACAGAGGTCCAGGAAGAGGAGAGAGGCGAGGGTCTCGTGCTTCCCAACGCCTGGCTACTCTGGGCAAGCCACTCGATGGAGAAATGTCGCCTCATGGTTGGACGATGGAGATATCCAACAGAATAAATCAAAAATGTGTCCTTTTGGAGGAATATAATCTAATGTTATCCTTTGGGTTCCAGAAATGCAAACAATGTTTTCTCAGAGCTGGGTAAGTCCAGTGAAGAGTGTGTTCTTCTCTCTCAGCGGGTCAGTGTCCTGGTAAATGGAGTAATGATCTGAGTCTCAGGAGTAGAGTCAGTATTTATCCAGGGAATCCCTCCTCATTTACAACTCACTCAGCTAAGGATCAAAGAACACATCCTCCCCTCTTCCCTCCCTCCTTCAGTTTTCACAACTGCAGTAATTAAGACGTCTCAATCAGCCTGAATGAGGCCATTACCCTCTGGCTCCAGTGAGTCTGGAAAGGTTACCCCCCTCCTCACACACACACACACACACACACTGACACACACCATCCCATCCGTACTGTCCTCACTTCCCCTCTCAATACAGCCCTATCTGTGTGTATGAGTGTGTGTGTGTGAGAGAGAGCTCATTATTTCATCCTGTACATGTATTCTCAAATAACATATTGTGTTCTTATCAGGGATAGCTCACCCAAATAACAAAATTACACATTGGTTTCCTTACCCTGTAAGCAGGGAAACTCAACCAAAGCATGGATTGCTGTCATACCTCTCCATTAAGCAGAATAAGAAAAAAATGTCATTTTGTAATTTGGGTGAACTATCCCTTTAACACTGAAGCATTTCCTCCTGCTCCTCAGCTCTACCCATAGAATAAAAATATAATGTTTCACTATATTTATGAATATCATTAACGTCATTTAGCGACTTACATTAGTGAATATATTATTTTTTTCATACTGGCCCCCGTGGGAATCGAACCCACAACCCTTGCGTTGCAAACGCCATGCGCTACCAACTGAGCTACATCGCTGCCGGCCATTCCCTCCACCTACCCTGGACGACTTGTGCACCGCTCCATTGGTCTCCCGGTTACAGCCAGCTATGACAGAGCCTGGATTCGAACCAGAATCTCTAGTGGCATAGTGCCTTAGACCACTGCGCCACTCGGGAGATAATAACTGATCCAATAACACCCATTATTGTGTATTTCATCATATCAAATTACAACTTCATACATTCCATGATCTGCTGACCCGGTATAGGCCTACTGGGAAGTCATTCAATCCTTGAATATGTCTTTAACCAGTTGAATGGTGACCAGCCTTGATTGATTGGCTCAACATAATGAAATAATGGCTGATCTGCCTGATCGCGAAAGACATTGTTGTCTAATAATGATCAGTCTCATTGGATCTGTCTCCACTGGTGAGCGGGAGGACTGACAGCTCTGATTTTATAATTGGATTGTTGTTTGGGTTGTTTGCGCAAAAATGTATTGAACCTCTTGGTCTATTGTATGTAGGATTTAGGCTTTCTATAGTGTTGAAATGTAACGGCCATCTCGCTAAAAGCGTTGTACCCGTGTAGCTCAGTTGGTAGAGCATGGCTCTTGCAACGCCAGGGTTGTGGGTTCGGTTCCCACGGGGGGCCAGTATGAAAAAAATAATGTATTCACTAATGTAAGTCGCTCTGGATAAGAGCGTTTGCTAAATGACGTAGATGTTGATGATATTCATAAATATAGTGAAACATTATATTTTTATTCCATGGGTAGAGCTGAGGAGCAGGAGGAAATGCTTCAGTGTTAAAGGGATAGTTCACCCAAATTACAAAATGACATTTTTTTCTTACTCTGCTTAATGGAGAGGTATAACAGCATTCCATGCTTTGGTTTAGTTTCCCTGCTTACAGGGTAAGGAAACCAATGTGTAATTTTGTTATTTGGGTGAGCTATCCCTGATAAGAACACAATATGTTATTTGAGAATACATGTACAGGATGAAATAATGAGCTCTCTCTCACACACACACACTCATACACACAGATAGGGCTGTATTGAGAGGGGAAGTGAGGACAGTACGGATGGGATGGTGTGTGTGTCAGTGTGTGTGTGTGTGTGTGTGTGTGTGTGAGGAGGGGGGTAACCTTTCTAAAACTGTGTATGCACTATAAACTATGTATGCACTCACTAACTGTAAGAGCGTCTGGTAAATGTCATTGTTTTACATTTATGGAAACTATTTCCTATTTAATAGTATCCCATTGGAGTTCTGAGAAGCTACATTCGGGTTTTTGAGTATCAAAGATCCACGTTCCTCTGAAGGGACCGGTCTCCGTTAATGACCGATTAGCACGACTACACGGAGCGCTATCGCGTGGAGACAGCCGTCTGGAGGCGGAGAAGTGGAGAGATAGTGCACGCAGCAGCTAGCCCACCCGTCCGAATAACAGCCCTTCATTAGTTTATCAATGGGTCGGTTTGTGATTAAACCGATTTTGGATTATTATGTGTGTATTGTTATTTTATTGCTAGATATTGTTGGAGCAAGAAACATAAGCATTTCGCTGCACCTGCAATAACATCTGCAAAACTGTCTATGCGACCAATAAACTTTGATTAGAGTGTGCGTGAGTGGCGCAGCTGTCTAAGGCACTGCATTTCAGTGCTTGAGGCGTCACTACAGACCCCCTGGTTCATTCCAGGCTGTATCACAACCGGCGTGATAGGGAGTGCCATAGGGCGGCGCACAATGGACCCGGCGTCGTTCTGGTTTGGCTGGTGTAGGCCGTCATTGTAAATAAGAACGTGTTCTTAACTGACTTGCCTAGTTAAATAAAGAAAAAAATTGATTTAATCCCTAACACAATATATCACTTACTCTGCATAATACCTCTCCCTCCCCGCCCCTGTCTACCCGAGACGCAGTGGAGGAGATAGCCTACTTTGGTCTTTTAGAAAAGACAGGACTGTTTAGTTTGTTATCGGCTGTAAAGACGACCGATTGACTTGTTCCCCTGATCCTTATTGTAACATTGAATGGGAGGGAGACAATGGGCTGAATGAGGCTGGCAGAAACCCACTGGGACGAGAGGCGCCAGTTGAACCACGAATCCACAGCAGCGCGTCACCGCTCCTGTCTCCAAACCCATCTGCATCTACACTGTGCAGCGCGCATTTGGCCAAAGTCTCCAAACCCATCTGTATCTACACTGTACAGCGCGCATTTGGCCAAAGTCGCTCCATGCCTTTATTTTTTTTAAATTAAATGGCATCAGATATTTGACTGATTTAAGTGGATAGATGGCCAGTTGGCCAATCAATAGGCAGGCATGGCCACTATAGGCTACAGCACCACAGGAGCTGCATTGATGTACAAAAAGGCTCTTATTAATGCAAGTAATAACTGCCTATAGTCACTCTGTGGTAAATAATCATTCAAAAATAAAATAAAATAAAATAAATAAATGTGGGGTTCCTGGGAAGGAGGACTATTATATTATATAGAGAGTCACACACAGACACACGCAATCAGGGTCTTTGATGGCATCTGTTTGGCAGTGGTATGGGAGAGATGGCTGTGCTGTCTCCTGCAGTACCTCTCCCGTCTGAGACTCCTGTCTCCTGTCTCTCTCTTTTCTCTCTCTTTCTTGCTCAACAGGCCCCAGATCAAAGCACAGCACCCAGCTCACTATCACTGATCAGGATGACAGAGGGGAGACAGACAGGCGGGCTAGGCTGACACCCATCCCACTCTACAGTATGAAGAGACTGAGGGCCTAGCAGTGAAAGAGAAAGAGAGACAGAGAGGGAGCGAGATAGAGATAGAGAGATAGAGAGATAGGGGTGGAGATATGGAAGGAGAGAGTAAAGAAAAATATCAGGATCTTTTGAAGTCTTAACTGTAATCAATAGGCCTGTATGCAAATTCCTCAGTGTGTGTGTGTGTGTGTGTGTGTGTGTGGACGGCAGATCACTTGAGGAAATGAATCCTAGGAATCTCTGCACTACTACTTCTAATCTTAATGTACTTTATTTCATTTACTTCATTTATTTCCTTACTAATTAATACATACAGTCCTTGCAGAGTGTGGAGTGAGGGTTCTATTGGGAACCACTGCTGTCTGTGTAAGATGGAACTTTAGAATGAGTTCTTATTTTATTGATGGAAGCTCCCGGAACATTCTAATCTACAGTTACCAAACAGGTTATGACATTTTATTCATGACTATGCCCTACTTCCAGAATATTAAAGCCTGGTATGTGAGTGACACATTGCATTGAGTTAGTCAACCCAACACACACTCATAAATACATTGCTAAGGCATATTCCTGGTTCTGTGATTGCCTTGTTTAAAGGCCCATTCCATTTGGACTCTGTTAGTGTAGTCACTGAAAGGCCCATTCTATTTGGACGCTGTTAATGTAGTCACCATTTCATTTGGACTCTGTTAGTGTAGTCACTGAAAGGCCCAATCCATTTGGACTCTATTAGTGTAGTCACTTTTTATTTTATTTTTTATTTCAACTTTATTTAACCAGGTAAGCCAGTTGAGAACAAGTTCTCATTTACAACTGCGACCTGGCCAAGATAAAGCAAAGCAGTGCGATAAAAACAACAACAACACTGAAAGGCCCATTCCATTTGGACTGTTAGTGTAGTCACTGAAAGGCCCATTCCATTTATGGACTGTTAGTGTAGTCACTGAAAGGCCCATTCCATTTGGACTGTTAGTGTAGTCACTGAAAGGCCCATTCCATTTGGACTGTTAGTGTAGTCACTGAAAGGCCCATTCCATTTGGACTGTTAGTGTAGTCACTGAAAGGCCCATTCCATTTGGACTGTTAGTGTAGTCACTGAAAGGCCCATTCCATTTGGACTCTGTTAGTGTAGTCACTGATTGGTCTTTCGTGGTGTGTGTGTGTCTTCAACTGTATTAGCTATAGCTCAGGTAGTTTGTTTGCTCTGCCATTACCCTTATTTATGGACCACACTGTTTCCAACTAGGTCAAGCCCTACTACAATGTGTGTTAGTTTGTGCATATGTGTGTTGGGCACATAACTGGGCCCTATTTGACCTTTATGTCAAATTCCACTCCCGATTTGAGCTAGACCCCTTTGTCT